GCATGGCCGGCGGCCCCACGTGGAGTATCCAAACACAGGCAGGGCGTCCACACAGGTCATGGCAACATCAGACTGGCTGGGGTGTTAGAGCCCACACTGGGGGGATGCAGATCCACATCGAGGAGGGGGCAATAGCAGTGAGGGGAGATTGGTCACATAGAGGGTCCCAGTTAAAGATGATGGTAGCAGGGTTCTCACCATTACAGAAAGGTGGAGGGACCATGTGTGTTGGTTTGGAATTGGTGTATAGGGTGAACTCTTGGTTTTCAGTTTATATATATATATATATATATACATATATGCACGCATATGGAGATAAACGTGGACCTGAACATGTGGAATGTGCGTGTGCGTGTCTACGGTGCACGTGTTCTTCACTGTCTGCTGAGAGGGCCTGCTGGCGGCAGCACACCCAGCACCCAGACTTCCTGCCTAAGTGCCGTTCTTCAGCCATGAGGGTCTCATCACGGGGAAACAGATACATTCTGCAAAATAACGGGCCTACACTCTTCAGAAGTCAAGGGAAGACGGAGGAGCTTGCTCTGGAGTGAATGAGAAATGGGCAGCCGCTACAACATGTGGTTCTGACATGGTGTGGCGTGATTTGCCGTTAGGAGCGCTGAGATCATCAGGGAAGCTTGAGCGAGGTCTGAGGGACAGAAGCGACTAGTCATGTATGTTGTAATCTGCAGATTTGGGGGAATCTAGAGGATGTCTTTGTTTATGGGAAATATACGCTAAATTATTTGAAGTAATAGGACAGCATGTCTGCAGCTTATTCTCAGGTGGTTCAAGAAAAAACACTTTATTATATTTTTCTGTAAGTTTGAGATTGCTTCAAAACAAAAGATAAAGTCTTCTCCAAAAATTTTTTAAAATTAAACCAAATTGTTCAACTGTGTTGCCTGCTGCTGAGCAGTCCACCAAGATGTAAACTATACGGAAGCCGTCGGATACCTTAGAGCAGTCGTTGGTGGGTGATGGAGGCGGAGACCAGAGCGACACGGGTTGGCACGGAGACAGGCGACATGCAAATGGCCACTGCCATCAACTCTTCAGAGGTTTTTCTGGGAAGGGGGACGAAGGACCCTCTGAAGCAGGGGACTGTGGTGAAGGGTGTGGAGAAAATGATGTATGCAGGCATACTTGGACGATTAAGAAGCTATAGCCCAAGGAGGGGAAGTTTTGGAGAAGTTCTGTCTTCAGATATTTGAAGATCTTGCAAAGTCAAAGAGATGCTTTGTTTTAATTTTCGGAGGAAAGAAGTAGAGCCAGTGTTTACGGAGCAGGGGCTTCTGACTAACGTGTTGAGCCATCCAGCAGCTGAGTGGTTGGTGGCCTTGCATGAAGTGAACTCCTGACCCAAACAGTGGCAAGCAGAAGCTGTTCCTGGAAGTGATTCCTCTGGTGACTTAGGGCCGAGGCCAAGTGGACCTCCAGCTCCCACTGCGCACTCAGGCCCATTGTCATGTGAGTTTGTTCAAATAGGAAGTCCTCAGCCCTTTCTGAAATCTTGAGTCTAAGTGGAAATGACCAGTGCTTGGGGTCCCGCGTGTGGGAATTAAAAGGACTGTGCGGTCGGGTGCCTCTCAGCGGGTTTCTTTGTTGCTTGCTGCGCTTACCACAGGGGTAGACAGTCTCACCCTTGCAGTGACCAGGGAATCCCTCGGTTCCTTAAATACTATTTTGAATTGGGGAAGGTCCGATTGCCTACCTGCAGTCAGGCCAGTGGCCACGAAGGTGTTACGGCATAGAGACCAGAGCACAGCGCCCTGGTTCTTTGTGCTTCAAAGGGCCCTTTGTGTGTTGGTGATGACAGCAGCTTGGGCGTATAGGATTGGTCACGGGGATTATCCTTTGTATCATTTTCCTGCTTTTTCTTGGAGCTTGGTTTCTTTTTAGAGACGGTATATTCGGAAGTGAGAAGGGTAAGAACAGTAGCAAGGTAGCGCACCCGTGAGTTTATGTTCATGGGATGTAGAAAACTGACGTTTGTCTTCTTAGGTGTTTAGAAGAATATGTTGTCAGAGGAGTGAAAAACAGGTGAGTTACTAGCAGGCAAGTGGGAAAACAGCAGTAGTGTGGATTCTTGTGACCTGCAAATAAATTATAACTGTGGAGGGACAAGGAGCTTATGATAATAATGTTCTTTCTGGGGCCTCCTGAAAAAACACTCTACCTTTTAAGTGTCTGCGAAAGCATGGGCCTTCACAAAATTACTCTCTGAAACACTCCATTTTATCTATCACAATATCACATGAAATAGGAATTAAAATAGTATCGTGGCTCCTGTTTATCTAACGAGAAGGCATCTATTTTTTTCCTGCTGGTAATTTATATATTAAAATGTTATTAGGAGCACCTGGGTGGCTCAGATGGTTAAGCATCTGCCTTCAGCTCAGGTCATGGTCCCAGGGTCCTGGGATCGAGCCCCGCATCGGGCTCCCTGCTCCGCGGAAAGCCTCCTTCTCCCTCTCCCACTCCCTCTGCTTGTGGTCCCTCTTTCGCTGTGTCTCTCTCTGTCAAATAAATAAATAAAATCTTTTTTTAAAAATGTTACTTACAAGAATCTGAACAACTCATCATTAGCAATCTGTAACTCATCCCAACTTAAATTTTTTAATGGATTTTTAGGTTGTTCTACAAATATGCTTTCTTATGAATACAGAAAGAGAGACCAGTTTGGTACAAGTATAATATCTTTTATTCCAAGAATTTGAAAATAATCTCTTTAAAGTTTTTTCATGATTGTTTTCCGGCGACATTCTGTGAACAAAAACATAGTTTTTGAAGGCCACAAATTAAGGAGATGTGAGATTTCTGAGGTCAGGGAGGTTGAAACAAAGCTTCTCAGAGATGGCTTTTCTCAATTTTATTTTAATGCTGTATTTCTCTCTGACCTCAGAAAAAACCTGTGTTGAGTTTTAAAAAATATTACCTCTTTCAGCCTCTTCATACGTAGTTGTTGAAACATGTAAAGACTCACCTATATGAAAATATGAGCTTTGAAAATTCTGCTCACCATTCATCTCATCCCTAGGAGTTTGCTGAAGGAGAAATGTGGATATAAAAAGGACTGGGTCCTGAGATGTTTAATGTCTTATTTTTAAATAAGATCATGGGTTATGGCCTAAATGTCCAACAGCAAGGGAATGAGGACATAAGTTATGGTGCACCTGCTTATGCGTGAGGACCCTCGTGAGACACAGAGCAAACGGGAAGATGTGGCCATCTGCTTAGAAAAGCAGGAAGATGGGGCGCCTGGGTGGCTCAGTCGTTAAGCGTCTGCCTTCGGCTCAGGTCATGATCCCAGGGTCCTGGGATCGAGCCCCGCATCGGGCTCCCTGCTCGGCGGGAGGCCTGCTTCTCCCTCTCTCACTCCCCCCTGCTTGTGTTCCCTCTCTCGCTGTCTCTCTCTTTCTGTCAAATAAATAAATAAAATCTTAAAAAAAAAAAAAAAGCAGGAAGATTTGTTCACAGAAGGTCCACACATCTGCAGACAGAGGCAGGAAGAGAGGCCAGTGTAGTCTTAGGGGTGGGACTGAAGGCACGCTTCCCTATTGGAAAACCACTTGGCATAAATAAAAACTGGCTTTCAAAGATGGATTTGGCCACGATTTGGGCATTTTGCTCAGAACCCCTGCTACACATAGCAGATGTGGACCCCTGGGTTTGAGTACTCAGGGCCGTCGGCTGCCAGGCATCTGCTCGCCCTTGGTGCGGCATCTTGTACTCCTTTCTCTCCAGTAAAGCTCTGTGGGAGCTTTGCTTTTTGGATTGGTTACATTAAAAAAAAAAATATTTTCCATCACTGTATGTGAACAAGGACATGGCACGGCACTCAGGTAGGAATTTGGGCACCAAATTGAGCTTCTCTGTCTCTGTGTTATTTGACAAAATCTGTTCAGTTGGGGAGTTGGGGTTGCATTTTAAAAGGCAAGTGCTTACAGCATTCCTGATGATTAAAACAGAACCAACAAAAAGAGCCGTATCTGTGGCAGGAGGTTGTTTCTGTCTGCACGTGGCTGAAACACCATTTGGAGAGACAGAGACCTGGAGACACAGAGTGACGGGGTGGGGCGAGTCTGACATTCAGGAGGGAGGAGGCGGACATCAGTGTTAGATTTTCTGTGTTCTTTGTGTCTTTATCCTCAAGTTGCAGCCACCTCCTCATCCAGTTCCTGAGAAGAATGTGATACTTAGTGAATTTTTTCCACATGCCTCCACTAAGACATTCCTAAAGCTTCGTTCCCCCCCAACAGTCAGTGACAAAAGGCACAGAATTGCATCTTTGAGTGTTTGAGAGGCATGGCCACTTAACTACCTGATAAAGGCATGGCCAGGATCTGTGTTTTCACATTCTGAAAGTGAAAGTATGGTAGTCTGTGTCTTCTGATTAAATCAACCCTACAGACGTCTTTATGTGTTCTGTCCAAGTATTTTTTTAAAATAGTTCTATCAGGAAAATTACAGGGGACTTTTTGGTTTTGAAGAACTGAATGGTGTTTTAATAATGTTACGAGGTATGCTACACATTTTATTACTTCATCACAGTTAACTTCTTGTCCACCCTGTTCCAGGGAGGAGTAGAAAGAGAAGTTTTTTCAGACCGTTCAGAGAATAGCTATGAAAGGAATAACAGAATTTAAACCTTTCAACATGTGTATACGGCAGGGTCTGTGTCATAAACACATTTTTCTAAATTCATTACAGTGTGTTAGATGTAATCCTTTGAGCTGGCAGATCTTTCAACTGTGTATGAGAAACAAAATAGAGTAGTTGCAATTTAGTGTAATCTATTTAAAATACATGTTCTTGCCTCTATTTGAACAATCTGTCCAAAATGCAGTCCATTCATGTGGGATTTTGCCTGTACAGCTCTGAGTGGGAATCAGTAGTTTCTTTGTTCGTCACTATGGAAACAAATCAGCCTATCCCGAATGGCTGTCAGATCTCGCAGAGTGATGCTGGCGGCTCAGCGTAACTTCACCACAGAGCAGGCTGGCGCTGCCATCCCCTCGCCTGCAGCTCTTTCCTGCTGGGAGCCCAGCCATGCAGGACCTGCCCCGGCGGTGCTCAGCCCTGCCCTTCCTCAGCTCCTTCTTCCAGGGCCGCCGGCACTCGTCCTCGGACCCTATCCTGCAGCACGGCCGGCGCGGCTCGGCCGCCCAGACACTCTCCTCGTCCTCTCTCCAGGTGATGGTGGCAGTGGCCTCCGTCAGCTGTGCCGAAAGAAACCCAACTAGCCTCCAGAGAAAAAGTAAAGCTCTTTTCCTTCTTGAAGTTTGCCACAGCTTTGAGTTTAAATTCAGACTGTTGACAATTCTACATTGTACTTTCACTGTCTGTTATGCTAAGAGCTTCAGTGGACATGTAATAGGGGATAAAGTGATTGAATGTTTTGTGCTTTTGCATTAAAAATGTAATTTTTGAAAAAATTCATTTTCTTGTAAAAGATCTGCTTTTATGGTTTCTTCCTCTTCATTACCAATATGACATGTGGAGATTATTATGTGTGAAAGTCTTTTCTATATTAAGAGATCATGCACTCAGATGAAAAGGAAACCGTTTTATTTCTGACAAAATGAAGGGAATGTAGCCCCGGCTCGTCATCTACAATCCTGAGATAACATGGAAGCTGTTTCTCATGTTACTATTGCATTTGGAGAGTGGAATTTTGAATCCTCTCTTCCTTGTATGTTCTAGGAAATCCAGGACGTCCAACACCAAAGTACACAAAAGTCGGAGAGCGTTTACGGCATGTGATTCCTGGACACATGGCCTGCTCCATGGCGTGTGGTGGCAGAGCTTGCAAGTATGAAAACCCAGCCCGCTGGAGTGAGCAGGAGCAAGCCATTAAGGGGGTGTACTCATCGTGGTAAGTGAGTCTGCAGCAGCCAGTGGCTGTGGAGGAGGGAGCATGGGGGTGTGAAGGCAGAGGACCCCACCCCCACCCTGGCCTTGTGACTTGATGAGCTATGTGATCTTGGCTGCCTCACGTGGGTATTCTGAACCTTTTCTGTAAAATGGAAATAATAAAACCAACCCACAGGGGTTTTTTAATTAAGTGAAATGATGTACATAAATCTTAAAGAAATGGTAACAAGATAGCTCTTAAGTATTGGAAGTTGCTAGAAATACTGTGTTCAGCTATAAATTTGAGAAGGCAGGAGGTACATACGTGGTTTGTCAGTTTCACACAGGTACATGTTAGCCTCATTTCTTTTTATTCCCGTCTTCTGGATGAAAGGGCACACTTCCCCGCAAATACACCGCCTGTGTGCCTCAGTAGAGAGTGGTGCACGTTGTTGGCTCAGCAGGCAGGGTGAGACGGGTGCATGGTTTATGGTACGCAGATGTGATTCATTCTGCAGTGAATCCTTCTGCTGCTTGTTATTAACGGTAAACTGTCAAGTGCACCTCTTTTGGTTTTTTTTTTGTTTTTATTTTTATTTTTTTTTAAGATTATTTATTTATTTATTTGAGAGAGAGAGAATGAGAGATAGAGAGCATGAGAGGGACGAGGTTCAGAGGGAGAAGCAGACTCCCCGCTCAGCAGGGAGCCCGATGTGGGACTCGATCCCGGGACTCCAGGATCATGACCTGAGCCGAAGGCAGTCGCTTAACCAACTGAGCCACCCAGGCGCCCAAATGTACCTCTTTTGATGTAGTGATGTCTCTGATGAATTCTGACAATCAAGCCAAATCACCTTTGTTTGTTTTGTTCATTTGTTTTTTAAAGATTTTTTATTTATTAGAGAGAGCATGAGCGGCAGGGCGGGGGGCGAGCAGAGAGAGAAGGAGAAGCAGACTCCCCGCTGAGCAGGGAGCCTGACGTGGGGCTCGATCCCAGCACCCAGAGATCATGACCTGAGCCGAACCTACTGAGCCACCCAGGCGCCCCGCCAAGTCACCTCTGAAGCCCACTAAGAGGAATTCACGGTTTAAAGAACTCTAGTGGTGAATCATTTCCTGCAGCAAGAATCCATTTCCAAATTAGACTTTTGTCAACCGGCCTACCTAACTTGCAGCCTGGGCTTCTTTAAATTTACTGGTATGTGTGTAGTGATAGAGTTGGGGTCCATTGTCAGTGCCGTTCCCCACAGATCATATTCTAGTCTGAAGAGTGTTGTGTGAAAGCAAGCACTAGGCCTGAGGTGTGCTCAGACCGTAAATTTCCAATAATGCAGCTTGAGATCACATTAATATTTTTGGTTTATTTTTGACCAAACATATGAGTCTTTTTCACCTGTCATGCTTTCATGGTACTTCTCTCCTCGTCTTATACTAAGTGCTACTGAATTTGGCAGGGGAGGCCCCCATCAGTTTTCAGGGCTTGCCCCAGCAGGGAGGCATGGTATCTTTCTGGATTGTGCTCTGCTCAGCTGATGTCTCTGTTACTCGTCAGGCTCATGTGACCCATAGCTCCCGATAGACTGCCTGACGTATCTTTCACCAGACCCCTGAGGAGGGGCAGCTGTCTGTTCCGGGGCCTCTGTACATTTGTTCTCAGGCCAGCATTGTGCTACACACTGTCAAATTATTATGTCATCTTCATAAAGCTCCTGAAAGTAGGCGTGGTTAATGTCATTCTATCGATGAAGGAATTGAGGTCCAGAGAGACTAAGTAATCTACTACCCAGCTAGAAGTAGAAAAGCCAGCATTTGAAACCAGGCCCAACTGACTCCAAAGCCCATATGTTTTGCTGAATTACAATAACTCAGCATTTATTCCTAACCACATGCCAGGATTTGTGCTGAAGACTTTACACCCACATTGTGTTGAATTCTCATGCCAACCCTGCGAGGCAGGCGTTATCCCTATTTAACATAATAGGTAACTGAGGGGCAGAATTACCTTTGCTGCTCAACGAGGTTCCTCCACAACGTCCACTAGAATCTCACGAGAGTACTGGAAACCACACTGCCGGAGTCCACCAATACTTTACATCCTGGAATTTTTTCCAGGGATTCAGGGTTTCTTAGAGCCCTCATCATGATGCAAAATTGAAGCCAGAATTTGTATAAGAAAATTGTTCTAGATTTGTTAAAATCATAGGAAAGTAGGGACTTGATATCTCGTTCTCTTAGTTCTTAGAGCTGGAACGTTCCAGGTCTTGTGTATCTCACCAGCTGCTCCTCCCATCCTAGGGTCACTGAGAATATCCTGGCCATGGCTCGCCCGTCCACTGAGCTCCTCGAGAAGTACCGCCTCATCGAGCAGTTCCAGAGGTAAATGCCATGTCGTTGACACACTTGCTAAGCCAATTCGCATGTTCTCATCCATTGCTTTTGACGTCAAATAGTCAAACAATAGGCAGTGGACAGCTTATTTTGACTAGGAAATTGAGGGTTTTGAGTGTGATTAATAATGTTTAGTAATGCCAAAAATGCTTGATTTTTTTAAACACTTGCTCTCAATATAACTTTTTTCTTTTCTCCTATCAGCCATGGCATAAAAACAGTCATCAACCTGCAGCGCCCTGGTGAGCATGCCAGCTGTGGGAACCCTCTGGAACAAGAAAGTGGCTTCACGTACCTTCCAGAAGCCTTCATGGAGGCTGGCAGTAAGTCCTTCCACCTCCCCTCCATGAGTTACCAAGAACAGCACCCACACTCTTGTGTGCCCAGCTCTCCCACTGTCACCGGGTGACAGAATGACCGCTTTCTGCAGGGGTGGGCTCCCTACAGGGAAGATGAGCTGACTGATTCTAGATAATGTGGCCATTCTTCTCGGGTGGTGCTGCTGAAAGTACAGGATTCCTTTTGTCCTGTGAGAGGGATCTTGGGAGGAGCCCTATGGAACCAATGCCCACGTTAGTTACCATGGACACTGGCCCTGCTGCTCTGCGCATCCCGTACTCCTTGTTTCTGCCTCACACTCAGGCCCTGCAGGCTTCGTGAGTCCCCACTCGCCCGGGTCACACAGTGTACACATGGTAGCAGGATTGGAACCCGGGACTCACTCATGCCCTTACTGCTGCCCAGCTCTGCCTCTGGGTAGGACGCAGGGAGTCTTTATGTGACAGTCCCAGAAGCCCCAGTCTTGGGAGCCTAGGGATGGAGTCCACTGAACACATGCCATTCAGGACCAGACTGGAAAGGACCAACCCTGGCCACTTTGGGGACTTGTTTTTAAGAAGTGTGTGTCTAGCTTTTTTTGTCTCCACTGGGTGGAAAATCTGTATGTACCCACCTTGTGCCATTTATGAGTCCTTTAGACACACTGCCATACTTAAACAAGACGCCATGCTTTCCCTCTGTAGCTGAGTACTTTGGGCCAAGGTCGGGGACTTTATTAATTTGCAATCCCGTTTCACCTTAATTCTTTCTGGTTGAGTTTTAGCAGGAAATATCTTAAGTAATATAGAATGTGCTTTCTGAGAAATGTTCACAGTAAACTTACTGGAAATATAAAAAGCCTATTATTCTAGGCCTCCACATCCAGTTCAATCCGTGTGCCTTACAGCTTTACACTTTTCATGAATTCACTTACTTTCTTCAGATGGCTATGCAAGTACTTTTCCTCGATGTCAATTGTTTTTTCCTGTTTTCTTTTTTTCATTGTCCAGTTTATTTCTACAATTTTGGATGGAAGGATTATGGTGTAGCATCGCTCACCACCATCTTAGATATGGTGAAGGTGATGACATTTGCCTTACAAGAAGGAAAAGTAGCTGTCCATTGTCATGCAGGGCTTGGTCGGACAGGTAAATACTAGGAAGTGGATTTATTGTCTTGTAGTATATTTAAATATGTAAAGAATAGTATTTCATAATTCTAGAGGATAAATATTTTTCAGAATCCTATCAGAGTTTTGGAGTCAAATGGTAGAAGCCCCTGAAAGAAATTAGAAATAACTTAAACAAATAGTTTCAGTGATCATTTATTTGTGAGAGTATTTTTGAGAGACTTAAGCCTGAAAACTCATCGTATTTAGTAAATAGATGGGTTTCCACAGCTCACTAAATGATTATTCTGGTTTTTCTTTTTCAAAGGAAACAAACCCCAACACTTTATTTGTAATACATAATGTCTTTATTTTTTCTTTAAGATTTTATTTATTTATTTGACAGAGGGAGACACAGCGAGAGAGGGAACACAAGCAGGGGGAGAGGGAGAGGGAGAAGCAGGCTTCCCGCTGAGCAGGGAGCCCGATGCGGGGCTCGATCCCAGGACCCTGGGATCATGACCTGAGCCGAAGGCAGACGCTTAACGACTGAGCCACCCAGGCGCCCCCGTAATGTCTTTTTAAAATATAATTTTCCTTAACCAAAATAATGAAAATAGAAGGCATTGTTTTATTTGGTGTGTTCTAAGCACTTTACACAAACTTTTTTTTAAGTCTTTAGCAATAATGTGAGTCTTGAAGGAGCTTAAGTAATTTGCTTCATTGAGTAAGTGGCAGAGCCAAGATTTAAATTCATGGCTGGAAGGAATTTATTTGTGAAGGGAGTCTATCTATGCCTAAAATTCTATATAAAAATCAATGATTTTACTTAAAAATGCAGCAGATCTCAGTGCAGTGCTGATACTGGGGCAAAAATAAATACTGTAAGGTTAGAATATTAATTGTCCTCTGGTCCAGCCAGACACCTGAGCTCAACACTGTCCACAGTGTACCTGTGTACCTGCCTCCAGTTCTCCCACCTGCTTGGGAGTGTGTTCAGGACAGGGACTCAGTTCTGCCTGAGAACGGCAGCTCTTAGGGGCCAGCTAAAATCTCACTGTTCTTGGGGATTCCACACGACAGCACTGCAGATACTTCCTACTTACCCTACAGTGCCATGTCCTGGTGAGAAAGATCTGTGGGACGCTGCAGCTACTGGGAACCATGCAGTTTGCAGAGGTCCTGATTTTCATGTGTAACGTGATTAACAAACTTGGTGAATCACACAGATGTCTTCTGATTTGCCTTTTACCTTGATATTAGTTAACTACCAAAGTTGGATTAATTGATTAATTATCACCACTATGTTATTCATTTTAATTTAAAATTAACAGGAATAATAATGTTTATAACATTAAGGTTGTTTCCTTTAATAATAAGTATTTATCGAATAAAGTTATATCTTGGTCTAGAGAAGAGCACTATTAGTGTAGAGAAGAGTCCAGAAATAAACTGTCAGTGTGAATAATCCCCAAAGAAAAAAAGCCCGAAAAGGAAGAATGCCAGGCTGGGAATGTGGCAACAATCGATGGCAAAGGTGGCAGGAGTGGGAAGTAAATGTGCATCAGGGCGGGGGATGGAGAGCACTGTGCTCGGCTCCTTATCCTCTTCAGACCACTTCAGCAGCGATGAAGGCAGATCCTGCTCTACTTCCTGCTCTGAACTGCTTTTAAAATATTCCGTACACTCAATCCGTACACTCTGTTTGGACCTTCCCCTAACCTCCTCTCACTCCCTCATGCCCTCACTCGCACTCTCTCCCTCATCCCCTCACCCACACTCTCGCCCTCTTCCCCTCACCCACACTCTCTCCCTCTCCCCCTCACCCACACTCTCTCCCTCTCCCCCTCACCCACACTCTCTCCCTCTCCCCCTCACCCACACTCGCTCCCTCTCCCCCTCACCCGCACTCTCTCCCTCATCCCCTC